CCAACGGGCACCCAGGCAATCGCTTCAGAAGTGGAGTGTTCGGGAGTGTAGCAGAGTAGCGGATGCGACAAGCGCTGATGAAGTGTGGAGCTATGAGAAGCGTCCTCGGGAATAGGGATGTCTCTGAAATCAAAAGCGAAATTTGAGCATCAGCAGCTACTGTAGAAAGACGCTTGGCGACGACATGGGACAAACAACTATAGAGCACCGGGCTTGACTAAGGCACGCGGGAGTGGCCCAGCTGCTGCTGGAATTCGGAGTTTCTCCCTGTGTTTCGGCATCGGATGGTACCACTGCCCTCATGAAGGCCCGTCGGTCATGGCGGGCAAATGGTTGAAGCAGCACAGCACTTGTCTTGCAGCATGCGAGGCCTGCATGGGAAGCCACAGAGAGGTGGCTGCCGAACTCATCCTTCGCGGGGCGAATGTGCCTTGTTCAGCAGAGATGAGGGCAGAGGGAGGACGAGTCGGAAGTCCTGAGCTCCGCGAAGCTCCGCGAAGCTGTGAGGTGGAGGAGGCCTTGAACTCGGCACGACGCCGCAAGATGCCTGGCGTCACGCGTGTGCTGCAGCGAGCCGTGGAAGAGGCCCAAGCAATGCGAGGCGGGGGACCGGGGGTAATCGAAGGCCTCCCCGAGTCTGCTCGGAAAGTTGTGCAGGGCCGCGGCCAGAACAGCGCGACCTCGAGAAGCTCGTGAGGAAAATCGAGGGGCCGCCGAAGGCGACCCGCGTTGAAGCCGGCGCGCGCCGACGCTTCGCTGTTCTGATCGCTTTTGCCCTGGCATGAATTGGCGAGGCGCTGAAGCGCTCCCGGCACCTCTCCACAGGCACGGCCTCGACCTCCACCGCCGTCGCCGAGCCCTCGGCCACGTCCCCGGCGATTGCTTCCCGCCACGGCCCTCGCGCTGGCTTTCGTTCTGGCTGTGCGTCACCAGGAGACTCAGACGACGGCCGCTGCAGAGCACCTGGACTCGTCACCCAGGACGTTGCGCGCACGAAGACTTGTCGAGCATCTTAGAAACCCTTGACTGCAGGAGGCAGCCCGAAAGCCCCTTTGGGACCTTGGAACTGGGAGAGACACGCTTTTCGCGTGCTTTTGCAGGCCACAGCAGACTGCCACTGCCGTTCATTCTGCACTGTTTTGTGTCTGCAGGAGATGATCACTGTGATCAGGCTGCGACCAGTCGCTTGGCGTCCTTTTCTGGATTCAACAAGAGTGCACTAGCAGTCACTAGCATCATCTAGCCGCTAGCCTCCATCACGACGTGCCTCGAGGTTGCTCAGAGAGGGAGGTGGCGTTGGAGGAGCCGCGACCAGCGAATGTTTGTTGCTTACTGGGATTGCAAATCATGCACGAAGTTCAATGAATTTCTTCGCAACGATGTAGTGGCATCGGAATTGTTAAGGATGACGTGGAAGAAGAAGGTGAGAACTTTGTGCAGCTTGGTGTGGCTGGTGGACTATCGGGCAAGGAGCAGGTCACGTCATCAGCTGCAGTCGAGAATTACAGCATAGGCTGCAAGAGACGTTTCGAAGGAGAACAGGCCGAGTGACAGACCTTTCGTGCTACCCTGGAGAGCAGTGCTTGAGAATCTTGGCATGCGCTTTGGAGGATGCCACCACTTTCGAACAGAGTTTGCACGCCAGACCTCGCATCTGAGGAGAACGGCAGCAAAGTTTCCAGAGCACACGGACTCCCGCGATCCGGCTTCATTTTGCGAAAGTGACGTCAGGGGAGGTCGTCAGCACTATTCTCGGCACGACAGGTCTAGCCTCTGAGGGCCAGTCAGTGCGGCACATGCTGGCATACTGCCGCTCTGCCTTCTACACCATCGAAGTACTGGGGGAGGCCACTTGCAGTCTTTTGGAGGATGTCGCAGCACTTGAGCTGTTGCAGGTGGAGCCGTCATCGCCAGTGTCTTGGGCTTCAGGTGCACTGTCCAGCCTTCACGAGATGGCAAGCGAGCCATGTTGAGCGCAAGTAGTGCTGCTACACAGCGCAATGGCAGGTGCTTGAGCTGCGAGCGAGTCAGCTGTCTTTGTCTCTCTTCTGTAGATACTTTCCATGCGCCTTCACCCATGGGAGTGCTGAATTCCATTGCTCGAAGCTGTGGGTGTATGGCTTCCCCCCGCGGAGGTGCCGCTTTGTCGAAACGAGCGCACATCCTATATAAGACTCTTCAAACGAACCCGTGCGGCAGCTCCGTTCTGATGTAGCTCGCTCTTCGGCGCTTGCAACCAGCAAAGTCTGCCAGACAAGATCGTTTCACTTGTGTTTATTGTAGAGGTTGCCGTCCACAATCGCACGCATTCGGAGGGATTATTAGGGATTCCTCTTGTGCCAGCCGCAGAGGTCACGCGGGGCCTGGGCAATTTGTGACCAAGACTCGAGCACCGGCGGTCGGATCAAAGCTGAGTGAGCATGCAGCGTGAAGCCCCAGGGCTATTTGGGGCGATCAGAAGATTCCTGTGCCTCAATCTTGAACATGTTCCCTCACACTCCTTTCACGGACCCCCACAAACGAAAAGCCACAGCGTTACAGAGAGCCACCTCATAATTGGAGGATGTTGCTCTCAGCCGCTTCCTGCTCTCACTTCCAACAGAAGTATCTCCATACTGTTGCTTCTGTGAAATATTCCCGACATGCGCAACAGGCGCCTTACAGGATTTTGTTTGAGGGTGGTTTATTGCTAAGGCATCGTATCTTTGTCGGGCTCTTCTTTGTCAGCATCATCAGCAGAAGCTATATATGATGAAACATCAACAGAACTGGATGTTGCCCAAATTTTGGCAATCCAGTTAACCGCGTCACTGTGCCATAGTTTGCCTGAGCACGGCACGGGCGAGTCTTGTTTTCAGCACTTGCGTGTGGTATACATGCATATGGGTGGTTGTCAAAATTATGGTCCCCTTTTGGGTCCTTAGTATAGTACGGCACCTATTATTTAGGGTACCCCAACAGGGACCCTAATTTTGACAACCACCCATATATTGATTGATCACCTGCCATCCTTGGGTTCGTTTTGATCGCTTGTTCATGCTCTGCCTGCATGTACCTAGGTTACACCGAGAATCGCGACAGAGCACTGCATGGTAACCGAACGTGAGAGGACCTCACCTCGGTGCAGTCGGGAATGGATGGTTGTGAACGCCTTCTGGCGGCTTGCCGCAATGCAGGCGGCTTTAGTGCAATCGCAAATAGGGAAAGTTTGGGATCATCCTGTGCAGGTTTGACCATTGCGCACAGTCGGTCTCATCGCTACGGCTCTGTGGTGCGGGATGACCTCGCCGGGTCCTTAAGTTTGACCGCGCTTTTCGGGGCACGACCGTTTACGATGTGTTGTCCAAGGTTGGCACACCTGACGAAGGGTATGAGCTTCATCCACGGATGAGAGCCCGTGAGGGCGAGATCGTGGTATGCGGCTTGGTCAGCTTGCGGTGCTGCACACTGTGCCGCATGCGCCGCATGCTGTGCTTGCTGTGCTTCGGGCCTTGCTTTCTTTCAGATCAGTTAGGTTGACAAGTGGACGTACGGTGCCTTTGCATCTACGCGACCTCGGCCAGCAGTCTGCATATAGGAGTTGGGTGGCTCTCTTACGACGTAACGAGGTACTTGGAGCGAGAGCTGCGTGCTCGAGGCGTCAGGCGGATTTTGCGACTCCCCCAGTGGCACAGGCGAGTACCGGGCCTTAGCCTGCGAGCTCTGAGGCTGTGCGGTGTGCTGACCAACGTCTGCATCTTCGCAACAGCTTCGCAGGCGTGGGCCGGCGGAAACATATCCAGTCTCAGTACATATTCCAGCCGCAAGCCCCACCGCAGGCTGTCGATCGCTTCATCCCGGTTTGCCTAGTCGAGGATGCGTGCCCGCTGCTCAGAGAGGCAGCGATGCTCTCGGCAAGTTCCTGCATCAGACACCACTGTGGCTGGAGTGGAGACAGAACGCATGCAGAAGCACTTCCCCGACAGTCAGGTGCAGCTTTTCAGACAGACTGGCACCAGAAGGCGCTGACGCTCATCAACGAGCTTGGGCCTCTGGTCTTTTCTGTTCCACAGATGTCGTTCTTGCCACGGCCCGTCCGAAGGCCCCAGACGCAACCGGGGCACAAGCGAGGCTGTGGGCTCTACTTCGGGGAGGTCACACAGGCACAGCCAGGGCGCCGATTCTTCAAGCCTTGTACAAGTTTTTGGCTCGGCGTCCAGGTTGAAAAAGTGGAGGCTGCTCTGAAAGACATGAAGTAGCTGCCTGGCAGCCTCACATCCCACGGCGTTGCTGGATGATTGCACTTTTGCTTTACTGCAGCCGAATGTGGTCACCCATGGAGCGGGGCGTGGCCGGTGCCACTCCCAACCCTCCAAGGGGCCCAGGCGATTTCGTTTTCCCGGCAAACCGCCGCGGCATATCATGTCCCGGAGGAGAAGTTTACAGCTGTACGTTTGCGATGCTGGTTTCTCCTCTGGTGAAATTCTCTTGATGGCAACGCAGAGCTTGAGGCTGATTCAAGTGGCCTGGATATAATTTGTCAAAAGCCGGGCCTAAAGAACAGCAGCAGGCTCCGCACTTGCATCTATGACTTTACGCTGAGACTTTTGGAGCAAACAGGAGTCTAAGAGCTTAATCGCATTCATGTGCACTCACGTGCATCATCCGCAGCAAGTTAGATGCCCATTGCACCACGGCTTTAGGAGGCGGGCATCCTGAACTGAGAGGACGGACAGCCGACTGTATCCTGGTGGCCCGCATCGCCGCAAAAAGCTAATGTTGGCGGCAGGGCTGGTCAGGTCGACTTGTCCGCCTAGCAACGAGCACGCATTGACTGCCAGCAGCCGGCAGACTGACCTTGACATCTCTTGAGCAGCTGCAGGGCACTTTACACGTGCAAATGTACATTCGCAGCCGATTTATGCAAAGCCTGAAACAGGCATCACGAGGATTGTCAAGGCAAAGATTCGCAAGCAAAGACCTGCAGTCCGCCGGAACCAAGCCGAGTTTACCATGCCCCCATGAGCTTGCTTGGGGAGCCTCCGCCACAATCCGAGCGCCAGGACCCGGAGCCTGAGAACGGGAGTGCGAGTGGTCCATCCCTGGCCGGCAGGAACTGGCTCCATGCGTCCGTTATGTCCCGGTGCCAAAAACGACTCGGGTGGAGGTGTGCCCCTTACAAAGGGTTTGACTTCTATAGTGCAGCGGTTTGTCCATGGCTTGTCATCTGAATCCTTGGCTTGTAAGTTCAGATTGAGGTGCAAGATCGTCGTGTTGGCCGGCAAGCAGAGGACGTCTGCTTGGTTGCACACAAGAATCGAATCGAGCAGGTAGATGCGTTCGACCTTCGGATGCCCAATGACTGGGGTTATCCGAATTCGACTTTTGTCGTGCAGAGGAGACGCGCCGCTGCAACTTACGAGCTCAAGCCTAATTGAGATAAGTCACACACTTGAGTTGAAACGAGGGCTGCTGACGGACGCAAGGTTGGCGCTGTGCCTAACGCTGCCGGATCTGCTTACGTCGAACAGGCAGCGGCCCGAGTTCGTAGCTGAATGAGTACCGTGTACTGTCGCTTCGTCCTGCGGCACCAGGGCAACACGAAGATCATTGCTTCCGTATACGGTGCTGGGCTGACTTTCAGTTGCATCCACTTGCGATTGTTACACCTAGTACCATAATGTACCATAGTCGCTCCGAGCTTCTCATTCTACGTTCTGCACCGGAACCCATCAGCACCGGCTGAGAATCTACGGTGGCATGATGTTTGTGCTTTGTTTATTTTGTTTCGGGTCGCTGGTTTTGCACACAAAATGGAACCAAAGCAAGCAAACAAGCCAGCCAGTCAGCAGGGCAGCAAGCAGGCACTCAAGCCGCGGGCTTAAGCAGTTGGATCAACCACCATCGCCAAGTGAGGCAGCGGGCTTGAGAGATCAACCGCAACGACCGTCGCCTCGTGAGGGGGCGGATTGTAATGTTGGAGTTGCAAACATAAACCCCCCTGAACTGTTGTTGTCGGCGGTAATTTGGGGTCAGATCTGGGGACCAGGTGTTGCAAAAGTAATTCGTGGCCGGTTCTGGGGTCAGTAGTGAAAGAGATTTTAGTTGAGTGAGAAGTCTGGGGAGCTGCACTTTGCCAGCTGGGTTCAGGGCCCAGGGCCTAGGGCTCTCGTCGTCTTCTTGGAGGCTTTGGTTTTACCAGCCTGGTCCGCACGTGTTTCGGGATTTTCGGCCCAGAATATGGTATTGTCAACTCTTTTCTGGATTGTGACCCAAGCCCTCATACCAATTGCTTGGCCCGAAAATGTAATTGAACTCCTCTTGTGCGCAGAAACCCTAGCCCGCGGAACACTTTACATAGATTAAAGCAAGTCCAACATTGTAAATGGGCCGGATAATCTCCTCACGAGGGAGCGGGTTTGAGACATGGGATCAACCACTATCGAATGATGCTGGTTTTTTGAAATGAGATCACCAGAAGGAGCGGGTTTGAGGAATGGCATCAACCGCTGTGGGTTAAAGAATTCGCATGAGCCGCCATCGCCTAGTGAAGATGCACGCAATTAGGATCAACGGTGAGGGAGCGGGTTTACCACATATTACCACATGGGGTCAACCGCTATCACATTCTATCACCTAGTGATGGGGCGGACAGAAAGAATGGCATCAACTGCCGTCGCCTGATGAGGGGGCGGGTTGGATTAAGAAATGCGATCAACCGCCACCGAGGCATGAGGCGACGGGATTGGGAAATGGGAACAGCTGCCATGCCTAATGAGGGGGCGGGTTCAGCAGATGGAACCAACCACGGTCGCAATCATCTCATGGGGAGGCCGGGTTTCAAAGACTTTGAGCGACCGCCATCGCTTGACTATTGCTGTTGCGAGTACTCTTTCTGGCCATCGCCGAATGAGGGGCCGGGTTTGGGAAATGGGACCCACGGCCATCACCGCGGCATCGCCGATTGAAGCGTCATGTGAGATCAAGCATGCTTAGGACACATATGCCCACAATGGCGTCTCGCTTGTACAGTCGTGACTCCGAGATATGAGCAAAATGTGTCCCCGGCATACTGGCCTTTCTTGCCCAAAGCGACCTGAATGTATTGGCCTGTGCAATGAATCGCGCTGTAGGATGCGGCCGCACACGAAGTCCGTACTATACCGTAACACTGGTTGGGGTAGGACTTATGAGCAGCCAGCAAGACAACGGATAATTGGAACTTACAGTATAGAATAATAAGTAAAAGCCGCGCGACTCGAATCTGCAAGCCGGTGGTTGCTGTGGACGTGAAGCTTTGTTGCAACATGTTGCAACCCTTGTGTTGATGGAGTGCTGACTGCCTTAGGAGCACACTGGTCCAACAGTGTTGTAAAAAGACCGGCGGAGCTCATTCGAAGCTTAAATGCTCTTGGTGAGTTAGAACCATGGTGCATGACGGAGGCAATAAAACCGGCCGGAGTGCCAGCAGATTGGTTGATATTGGTTGCCCCCCCGAATTGAAGGCACGTGGCGTGCGGCGCATGCTCAACCCTGCTCGTACAGGCAGAGCACACGCTATGTGACTACATTGACACAGCAGTCTAAGGCCCCCGCCAAGCAGAACGGGACCGACAGCAGGCGGGTTCCCAAGCTGCGGACGACAATTGGTAGGGTCGTTTCAACAGCTCGATATCTCAAAAGGCCAGAGCCGAAGGTCTTCTCGCTGTGGAGGTCGTCTTCGCACCCTTCTGCCGGGCGCTTTAGAGTCAGCCGATGGTTGATTGGGTCTCCAGTGACGTTCCCTCACAGTGAGTTCGATCTCGGCAAGCATCACCCGAACCGCTGTCCCTTCCCCCACTCTGCGCCCGGTTGGAGGGTTGGTGTTCGCATTCCCCTCCCTGGAACACAACAGCTCACCCGAAAGCCGTTTCCAATCAGAACTAAGTTTTTGACAGTTTTTGGGCACTCGTGCCAAATCTTGCCAAAGCCATCCTTACTTGGTGTCTAGAGTGCGGGCCCCTAAGTTTGGAGCTCCGGAAAACCGGCCAAAAGGTTGACAGAGGCAGCCTGTCCTGCACCGGAACGAGTAAAGCTTCTAAATCTCGTTCCATTGCCTTTTTTGACTTGTGATGTCCTTTGCCCTGGCGGTCCCAGGTACAAAGGAGTTCAACCGCGAGGAGTCGGCTCGACTAAAGCCTTTGAAGAGATGCGCTTCAGGAAGCCTTCGCCTTCGCTTCGAGCTTCTTACTGAGGAGAACGAGAAAAGAGAGATCCTTTACAAGTCCCTGCTTCAGGGGGCTCTGGAGCTGGCTCCCCAGGAAGACGGTGGAGTCCATTGTCCGCTGTGCTTCGCCGACGTCTCGACGTCTTGAGGTCGGTGATTCTGTTGGAGAGGTATGCAAAGACAGCCTTCGACATCACACTCCTCGTCTTGGAGGCATCGCAAAGCTATTACCTTGCCGCCAGCCCAGCAACAGCCCCAGCATTCGGTCAGGACGACGGTGCCGTCCTCACCTCGTGCCTTGCAGCGGCTGCGATGGCGGGGCACTCACAAGTGACTGAAGCCGAAGCCCTGTACTGCTCCTAGCAGACTTGACTGAGAAGATGCACTCATCTTGAGATCCGGTCCTTACTTATCACACCTTGACCTGATGCCGCCAACATCCACGAACTTTCGCAGCCACGACCAAGCCCCGTGCAGTGTCAGTATGCCGCATGTGGGAGGCTGAATGACGCACCTTTGCATAGAATTGCGTAAGTGAACCTGTCTCCCCTAAAAATCGTGAAGGTTCAAAGTATTTCAGAGTCCATTCGCCAACCGTTTACCCGTAGTCGTAGTGTGTCAAAGGCAAGCAAAGGCCTCCAGCACTCCTCCAGCCCTTCCCCAACCTAATCAACGCTTCGGTCGTGGCAGGCAGTTGTAGCCAGGCAGAGCGAATTGAAGCAGCTTCCGGTGTCCTGCGCTATGTCCGAATTTCGTTGAAGGCCCTGGCAGATGCACGAGTGGAAATGAGGGATCTGGTGGCAGGCACTTGCCCTTGCAACGCGGTTGTGCTGTGACAGAAGCAGATGTGGCGAATATATCCCGGAGGTGCCACGGTCCATTTGCTTCCCGAGTCAGGTGCGCAGGGACGTTGGCCATTTCACGTCTACTTGTAGCAGACTCATATCAGCAGTGCCGTGAGTAAACGGCGAAGGCAGACTCTTGCTCGACTGCGATCGTGAAGAGGCATTCGCTCAAGTGGAACAGGTGGTTATGCATGGTATAGTTGATCTGCGCAAGGAGCGTTCCTTGCCAGAAGGGAGCTCTGTGCTCCACTTGGGGCTTTGTCCAAGACGAGGTGTGACATGGTTTGATCTGGGAGAATGCACGACCAATCGGCGCTTTGCAGGCCATCTTTGCTTGCTGCACAGTGTCGAAGCCTTTGTCGCAGCTCATGGGCAGAACGCAATAGAACGGACGGTCTAGAGTCTAGATTCAAGATGTGCGGGCCTTCTTGAGGTCGGGCCACTGCCCCCTGGGCCTTTCGAGCAAATGGCACCCGCGCTCAGCTTTACATGGCCCGTTGTTTGCCCATGTGCGAAGTGCCGTTTGCGCACACGTCACTGCATCCTTGGCTCAAGCGTCATGTCTGGAACCGGAACGTCTCCACGTCATGGCCGGTACCCCGGATTCTTCACAAGCTCGAGCTTCTCGAAGCAGGAATCATCGCACATGTTCTATCACATCTCACTGCTCAGGGCACTGCACGAGCTAATGCTCACTGCTTATCTATGACTCAGCGAAAGGCAAGACGTCTGCTCCTGAGTGCATGTTCCCATCGTACACTCACTTGCCAGGCAAACCTTCTGCATGCTCACTGCTGAGGCCTACCCTCAACCCTCGCCACACTGACAGGTGCAGGTCTGGCCGAAGGGAAACCGAATGGAGTCTTCGATGTCTTGCTTGCGAGGCCTCTCTTCCCAAGCGGCCCATGCATTCGCATCACCTGCGAGGAGTCCGGTGCAGGTAAGGACGGTCGTAGGCATGCAGCGGGGTGCCATGACCACCCCTGTCCTGAGGCAAGTCTTCACATGGCGCCTCCCAGACAGCTCTCATTCTGCAAGGTGCCGGGGGCTGCCGGGGCATCCCGAGTACCTGATGTGCTGTGCGTATCTGTGCAGTCACGTGCGCGTGCGCACAGGGCCTGCCGTGCTTCCAGCAGACCAGTGCCCGCACCGCGAGCCAGCTGGCCGCTGTAGGTGCCGGCTCCGAGTGTTTCTGAATACAACAGCACAGCAAGGGTTCTTGCATCTGTGGGCCGATCTGCCTCTCTGCTGCAGCTCGCTGCTGAGATGTTCGCATGCTGGTCTGTCAGTGGTTGCCACATTCCTGATTCGAGCTTGTCAGTCGATGCAGTCATTGACGCTAGCAGGGCTGCGCTCAGCTTGTCCCCTGAGCCGACGAGTAGGAAAGCATCGTTGCTGCTATTGCTTCTTTCGATTGATGTTTGGCTGCGCACCAGTCAATAGGTCGCTGAGTCCAAGGCATGAAGTTATGACAAATTTATTGTTTAGTTCTTGCGCAGTTCAGGTTCAATGATCATGGTCAGGTCCAGGTCATGTCTTCTACATTGCCAGAGCTTGGTATACGAAGAAGCAGACGAGGAAGGCCGACACCAGAGCTCAGCAACAACCTAAGAATGTGCACGCACCGCGAACCATAAAGAGAAATGACCTGTAACGCCAGTGTGAGCTTGTTTGCTTGTGTGTGCGAGGCAGTGAAATCCGTGCATGTAGTTTCTCTTTACCATTCAGTCTCATGTATTTCGAGACACAAAAAAGCTCTGTGGATTAGTCGAGCCAAGATGCGCACCAAAGTGTCCAATAAGGTGAGTCAGCGAGTGTGTATATGCTGAATGTGTATTATCTATACGTACACATATACACTCATACTTACATACATATCTATGTATACATTGTGTATATATATATATATATCGCCAAGGTTGTTCCCGGGGGTGGAGATAGCAAACGCATGGCCTCCCCCTCCAAGACCAACCTTGAGCAAGTTCCCTAATTCCTAACCCCATGTCCTGCAATTTTAGATTCCAAATTCCCCAGGTCCTACCCCCGGATTAAGGGATTCCCCTAATTCCTTAAAGTCCCGAAATCCTACCCACATGTTCTGGATTCCTGGATGTAGGGATTCCCAATTTCCCAAATTCCATAATTCCTGCCCCAGTGTCCTTAATTTAGGCAGTTTTGGGAATTATCGGAATCCTTACATCTAGGACAGGGGGTAGGGATTCGGTAAAATACTGAAGGGAATTCGGGGAATCATCCATGCACGGTGTATAGGATTTGGGAGGGCAGAGAAGAAGTTAGGGAGTTTGGGAGGTAGATAATCAGATAAAGGGCGGTCCCGCGCCGGGATTAACTAAGGAGTCTCGGAGGTTTAGAACTTGCACAACTGGGAGATCTAGTTTATCCGAGGGATAAGAACGGAACCTGATGAATACTTACTCTGACCATTATTTGTCATGACACTCAGCGAAGGTGAGCCCTAAAAAACACATGTAAGAGTTTGGCAAATGCTGCAGGCGACCAGATGAGAACTCCAATGTGCTAGTGTTTTGAATACTTCATTTAAACGGACCAACAGTTAGATAGTGCAAATTCAGGATCCACTCAGTCATTGACGACAACACCTTTGAACATGCCCAAGCAATGCACAATCACAATCTAGGTACTCGTGCATACCCGAAATTTCACTGCAAACTCCACGACTGTTCAGCTAGCTCAAAGTGCGATGTTCATGCAAAGGCTTGCAAAGTAATATAGCCTTCGACTACTCTATTTTTCTTCAGTGATCACGACGAAGATGAGTATGGCCCAAAACACTACGGCGAACTTTGCGAAGATGTGTCGAAGTGACTTGAGCATCATGTAAATGTCCAAGAGTATAGTCGTCAACATTATTTAATCTTTCAGCAACACGCAGTCAATATAGTAAATATCAAGTTATCACCGAAAGGGTACGACAAAAGGTTGGTTAGACATTACACAACTACTAAGTGGTGTTGATCAAGTATTTGCCGGATGCGAGGTGAAAGCCCATTTCATACTCGGCCACATGTCTCGACATACAGCCATCATGGGCCTGGAGAACAGTCAGGATTTGTTTAGCACTCGAGATGGGAGCATATTTCGATCTGTGTGGGTTTGGACACCCAGTTCTGTTGCTTGTACACTCAATCCTGCCTGTTTCTACATGCGGCGGCCCTCGACTTGCGACACCCAAGGAACCAGAATGGTAACAGGCATGAGTTTAAGGTTCTTATGAGCCTTCTGCACCGGCACGTGCACGAGAGTATTTTACGTGACAAGAAAAACTGGTCGTCGAACTGGAACCTAATTCATGTTGCAGTATGATGCATATTATGGATTTTGTGTCTGCCTGTGTCTGTTTCTGTGTGTGTGGGGACGGGGGTGGGAGGGTGGGTGGATGCATTCCATGTGGGCATCTTGCTTTGGTTGTCAAGTTGTCGTGTTTATCACCATGTAACATTTTGCCAGGCGAATCTCAGGTGGCAGGATTCGGAATAGCCGCCTTGCACCAAGATGGCCTGTTTCGTTAGGTTAGCGCGTGTGTCCACACAGATGTCTTGCCTGCGGCGATTCAAGTGTAGTTATGAGTTGTGATGCGGCAATTGCGAGCACTGCATCAGGCTCTCTCATCCTTCTTCAATGGATCCTTTCCGGCATGCCAGCGTCTCCCGAAGGTGCAACTGCTCCGAACACAGAGGCTGACTGTCGGCAAATCTGTTCGCAGGGAGAGCCCCTCGACCCCGTCCTTTTCAATGGTTTGGTATGCGCTTGGCTCTCATCACATAGGCGCCTAGGCCCAGGTCGTGTGAGCAGACGTGTCGTTGCACCTTTCGGCCGCGTCCGTACGGCACATGATTGAGGTTGGCGTCTTCTTGTCCTCACTGTTAGCAGCAGCCTCATGTCAAGAGTGAACTGGATGCCACACCTCTAATCTCTTTGTCTTGTTACCACAGGACCCCGAAGCATCAGATGTGTGTTGGAGAAGTTTTGTTGTCTTTCCGGATGTCCGGAACTGCAATGAACCACTGGCCTCAATCAGAGCTGTCTCTGTTTGTCTCTCTCTCTCTCTCTCTGTCCTTGCGAGTTTGCAAGGATTTGAAGAACATCCGAAACCTCTACGATTTTCTGGCGAATGGAGGGTTAGAAACAAGCACAGGCAAATGAAACACCATGTAGGGTGGACCCGGAAACTAACCCTCAGTCTTGATGCGGACTTCCAGCATGGTAACATTCGGTTACGTACAGCTCTTTGGCAGAAATGTCGACAACGGATCAGACCACCTACTGCTCCGACTCCTACTCCTACTGTTACTACTGCTACTAATGCGACTGCGAC